GGTTTTTTCTCCTGGTATCCCTATAAAATGTTATCCTCAAGAAACAGAGCCCACAGGAGATTAGGAGCCTCACTCAGGTCACATACTGAGTGGCAGAGACAGAACTCCAACCCAATCTTCCAAGCACATGGTCTGTGGGGCAGGCAACAAAGGAAACACAGCCACCTCTCCACTCAGCACTCACTCACTCACTCACTCACTCAGTGCTTATGAAGCGCTTACCAAATGCCAGGCGGCCATTCCAAGGTGTGGGGCAGTTAGTGGGAATCACAAAGACAAGGTCCCTGTTCTCCCAGAGCTCACATGGTCTGTCCCCAGTCCTGACCCTCTTCTTCCAAGCCTGGGGGCTCCACCAGGTTCAGACACAGCATCAGACCTGAGATCCAGCATCGGACTAGGGCAACTGGTGGAGTCCAGGGCACAGGGAGCCGCCTCGCCTTCTGCAGTGAAGCAGAGCCTCAGACTCTATTAGGGAAGGTCTTCGTTCAAGGCCTAGCCCAAAGGCAGGTAAACTTCAAATAAGCCTTCAGCAGGCAGTAAGGAGTGAAGGAAAGCGGTTTAGCTCTGAAGTCAGAAAACCCAGTTCCTCCATTTAGTAGCTCTAGAGGTACTAACCACATACCGCTTTGAACCTCACCTGTAAAATGGTGATGATAATAATAATAGTTAGTACTTACATAATTACGTGCCAGGTGTTGTTTGAAGCACTTGACATGCATTATTATCTCATTTAATCCCCATAAAAGCCGTGTCAGGAGGTACTGTTATTATCCCAAGGAAGTCAGTCTGGCTCCTAAGTCCTCACTTCCTAAATCACGCTGCCACCCTCCTAAGCCTGAACCCTCCTGGTCAGGCTGACGAAAGGAGGACTCACTTGGCTAAAGCTCCTAGTTCAGGCTCCACCTCCTTACACTGAAACATTAATCTGTAAAGGCTTAGTTTGGAAACGGCACTGCTCTAGCTGGTCCTAATACAGGTGATCTTGTAACTGCATCCTTTGTGCTCCCGCGCCCCACTCTCACTGATGGGATCCGCTGCAAGGCAGAATGGGACAAAATCCCATACCCGGGGGGCCCCACTGCTCCGTTTCTAAGAAACAGAGTGTCCAGACAGGTGCCAGGTGGACCCAGATCTGAGTCGGAGACCTGCCACTCACACTGGTCCGTCAAGCTTCAGGTTCCTTGAAAGTAAAATGGAGAAAAAGGTATAACTTGTCACGTTTCTGGATCACAACAGACCCTCAATCCATGGCAGCCACCCAGGCTAGAAGGGCAGGACTTTCACGGCACGGCACGGCTTCTGGTCTGCAGAGGAACAGACGGTGTGCGGGGCGTTGCTTCCAGGGTGACAGCAGAGACAAGAGCAGGCCCCTCCAGCAGGCCTGGCAGTGATGCCTGGCACAAGCCCCAACTTTCTTCTAAGTCTCCTGCCGTATCTCATGCAAATGTGCTTGCAATTCCATTAAACAAGGCTTGCCCCCCTTAAACATGAGGCACATTAATCATGCCCCTTCCCCACCCCCAATAATTTAAGCCGTGAGGGCGCAGACCCTTGCCTGTCTTGCTCATCATTGTGTCCTCAGCATATATTACCTGCTTACGAATATATGATTTATCATCTCCTTAATCTCAAGCTCTCAATCCTATCAATCGCTGGCTGCTTCTTCAAGCATTCCACCAAAGACAGAAAGGCCAGCTGGATTTAAATGAAGAGGGCTATATATTCGTGAAGTGTCTCAGTTGAGTCTCACCCACAACAGGAGCCCAGCCAAGGCTCATTAGTGTGAACTATATTGTTTCAGCTTGTAACAATATGACAGGCATCAGCTATCAGCTCCTGTCAGGCAAAACCGTTCGCTGGAGAGCCAACTCATGAGGGGGCCCTTGCCTGTTCCTGTCCTATGACAGGCCCCCACCATCACCAGAATCATAACGCTAAGTTAGAATAATAATTCCTAAATTAGAACCCAGAGCTATGTAAGGAAAAATGCTTTAAACTATAAAACACTTACAGACAGTGGTAAGATTATCACCTGCTGAGGGAATGCATATAAATTCCATTTGCCTATGCATTCTTAACTGATGCCAACAAAAGTCATGGAATTTACTCCTAAGTCCAGTGCATTGTAGACTCTCAAACTGCTATTTCCCTCCATGGATAACTGAGAGCTAGCTGTTCTCTCCACCAGCAGACCTACTGAATATAAAAACCACGGCGCTCTTAGTGCACTTACCTGAGCTGCAACCCCACACCACCCCTTCTGTCCTGCCGCCACTGTCCCCCCAGTTCATCAGAGTGTTCAGGTAGGGGACGAATGGCAATACGCAGCCCAAAATTACTGATCCTCCCAGGGGACACTAAGAACAAGTTACTCAGAGAATAAGCATAAACTCCGAGAGGCTAAGTTCAAGGACACAGACACACCCCAAAAGAGAGTACTCTAAGCCATTTCATTCAGTGCCAGGTGCTCTTCTAGGCCTGGGGGGAAGAGCCATGGGAAAAAGGAACAAAAATCCCTGACCTCAGAGAGCTCTCATTCTGGCCCAGACTAAATATGATCGCATCACCATACTGCTACTTCACGATTAAATGAGGTTTCCTACACAAAGGACCCAGCACACAATCCACAATCAACAGATGTTCCTGTGCTCCCTGCAATAACTCGGTTGGTAGAGTGGAGGACATGAAAGGCCGCTCCTCCCTTGTCATCTCTGACTACCTTATTATTATGTTGTCTAAACAGTGTTCTTTACATCAGCCCACACTTAAGCGGCCTGAGACAATGGGAAGGGGAAAGTTTAGAGCCTGCCAGGCGTGCTTCCACTGACTGAGCAACACCTTGACTAAGTCATTCAACCCTGAGTCTCAGCTTCTTGGCCTATAAAATGGGGACAGCATTTCCTCAAAAGGCTCTGTATGGATTAAATAAGCTCATATAGATGAAGCTCACAGCCCTTCACAAAATGGTAGCCCTTTTCCTCCACCCCTTCCATAGTCCTTTCAGACTGTCCAAATAAGACCCAGCACAGGCCTTCTGAGAAGCCTCCTGGACCATTTAAGAGCATTTTCCCATCACAGTTGGAGAATGAGGAGCCCAGGGCCAAGGCAAGGCGCCCCGCCCAGCCAGAGCCTGCCTTGAGCAGCCCCACCTGGCACCCCCACCCACTCTCTCCTGCTTTTGCCCTAAGAACAAATTTGCAAAACCTCACTCCACTCTTTAAGTCCTCACCCAAATCTGTTCAGAAGTGTCTTTCCCCACCCAGGCCTAGGGCTGGGCCACCACCCCCTGCAGCCAGTTCTCAGCCAATGAAAAGTCCAACAGCACAAAAAATGGCATCGGCCGCGTTTTTAATTAACATACAGGAAGGCATCAAGAAAAAACCTGGGCAGTCAGAATTAGTCACCCTAGTTCAGCAACATCCCTTAATTAAACAAGGAACCAAGATCCTCAAAACGCTGTGGGGCCCAAAGTCCACATGCAAATATTGCCAGGGCTGGGTGGGAGAAGGTGGAAGCCAGAGCTCTGTCAGTCCATCTCCAAAGGTTCCTTGGCCATATGAGACAGAAGCCCTCTGGCCCTTCCAACCTAGGTGCTGGTTCTGCTCTGCAAGAGGTTCCAAAGTGGACAGGAGGGCATGCTTACAAGTGCGGGCCTCCGTGAAATCTCACGTCAGAGCAGCCAGACGGCACCTGCCTTCATTACCAAAACAAACACCACGAGTGGAGCTAGCCTCTCCCTATGAGTCTGGCTCACCTGATCAGGGACACCTCCATAATCAGCAGTTCCAACCCTCGCGAGCTGACAGTTCAGGGGGAACGGGAGGCTGCGCCTGCTGGGGTACATCGTGTCCAGGCCATACGTTGGCCAGCGGGCCGGCTCGTTCCCCCAAGGGCTGCGGTCTCACAAGGGCGATTGTGCGTTCATCCCTTGTCCTGGGGCCCGCCCCCTCCCACACCCTGATCCCTCCGCTCTCTCTCAGGCCCGGCCGTCGGCAGGACGCTCTGCAAGCACAGCACGCGGGGCGCCGGGCGCGGGGCACCGAGGCGGCAGCCGCGGAAGGGTCCGCAGAGCGCCACGCTGCCTTCCGGGCACAGATGCCCACCCTTCCCTCGCTCGCTCCCATACAGCCTCCTAGATGCAGCAACCCTCAAACCCGAAAAAGCACAACCCCGGGACCACCGGCCTCCACCCCGGGCTAGAGAGCTCTCCTCGCATCCCAGAGACGCCAAAGGTTCGCCCTGGGTAGAGGGGACGACTGGAGCCGTGGGCAGGGCTGGGAGCAGGGCCTGGAGGGAGGGTGAGGTCCAACACAGAAGGGGGCCGGCGCAGACTACTCTTAAGGGTGGTGAGAAGTCCAGGGAAGGGAATCATGGGGGGTGGAGAAGGGTGACATCCAGGTGGAGGTATGGGCTGAGGAGGGGGAGGTTCAGACTTACGACCAGGGAAGGAAGAGAAAATTCAGGCTGAAGCCGTGAAGGAGAGGAAACAAATCTAGGCTGAAGCCACTGGAGAAGTGGACGGGGTCCGAGCTGAGGCCAGAGAGAAGGGCGACAGAGGCCTAGTACGGGCCATGGGAGGGAGAAACGACGGCCTACCCTGGGCCATTGGGACGAGGAAAGGAGACCTAGCCCGGGCCACAGGGAGGAGGATGGGAGACCACGCCTCGGTCACAGGAGTGGGTGCCTGGCCCACGGGTACAGGAGGGGCTCGCCGGGGCTATCAAGGAAACTACCCAGGACCCCGAGGTGGACAGTGGGGCTCCAGCTTGAGGCAAGGGCGAGGACTGGGCTAGGGAGGCAGGGTCGATGACCACCTAAGTCGCCCGGGCCGGCGGCCTCTCCTGAGCCTGCACGGAGGGTGTCTACCTGAGGTCCGGGACCCCGCCCCTCCCCCACCCGGGGGAACCCACCCTTCACCGGCCCAGCGTCGGCCGAGGAAGGGGAACGTGAGCTCCGTCGGGGGTCTCGAGGGCTGGGGGAGGGTGACGTCGGGCTTTTACCATGGTGGCGGCGGCGGCGGTCCAGGTCCCGGCGTCTGTGGCTCTCCCCCCAGCAGCAGGGTCCGGCGCTTCCACTTCCCCGGGTGCCCAGGAGTGAACATCCGGGTCAGCGCCCCCCTCCCCCCGCGCCGGGCCGCCGCCACCTTCCTTCCCCGCCCCGGCCGGCCCGGGCCCGCCCCCCACGCAGCCGGCTCTCCGCCAATGAGCGCGCAGGGCCGCGGCGATCGCCAAGTATGGAGCTCGGCGCGGGGGGGAGGAGCGCCGATCAGGGAAGTGAGGGGCGGAGCCTGCGGGCGGGACAGGGCGCTGCGGCCGCCCGGGTGGGCGGGCCGGGGGTCTGGTCCCAGCGTAGCAACCCTGTTGTCACCGAGGCTGACTTCGAGAGAGGGTTGCTGCCCGAACCCAGACCCGCCCATCCGCTCTGGGGTTGCAGGTGGCTGAAGCGGAACTCTGACTACGGGCCTCCCGAGCGGGGATGCGGAAGGCACTGGGCTGGGAGGGGTCAGTCCCTCCCCGCCGCACCCGGTCGGTGCACGCGCTCTTTCCCGCGGCGGACCCGGAACTGCTGCGGCCCGCTGGCCCAGCCCAGCCCGGAGAGGGTGTAGGGAGGAACCCCGTAATCCCAGTGGTGCCGCTTGCTACCTGTGGGACCTGAAGCAAGTCGCTGCACTTGAGGCCAATCTGCTTCAAAAGTGCCTTGGGCATGACCGGTACGGCTCATTTACCTAGAACATGGTCACATAAACAGAAAGTTCGCGGGTTCGATTTCCGGTCAGGACACATGACTAGGTTGCAGTTTCAGTCCCTGGTCGGGCCACGTAGCAGAGGAAACCCATCCGTGTTTCTCTCTGGATATTTTTCTCCCTCCCTTCCCTTCTCTCTAAAATCAATAAGTGTGTCTTGGGATGAGGATGAAAAAAAAAGTGCTTTGGGCCACACTATTTATTGAGCACTTTATATAAAAAATATAAAGTGCTAAAGGTAGCTGTGAGGACTACGCAGGTAGGAATTAAAAAACTGGGCTCAATAATTTCAGGTGCTGTATTTTTTACACGTGCTGCAAACAACTAGCCCATTTGTCCAGTGGAGCTGCATCACTGCACAGAATGACTCAAATCCTTTTTTCTTTTTTCTTTTTGGTCCCTCTTCATTCAACAAATGTTTGTTGAGCTTGGTTTAGAAGACAGGAGACCTGGGATACTATCCCTGCCCTTGCTAGCTTGCTCCTTCTCTTTTGTGAGAATCAAATCAAGTCATCTTTGAGGGGATTGTAAACTGTAGTGCTGCATAAATGACAGGAATTATTACCAGGAGCCAGGCCCTGTTCTAGTTGCCCACCACCCCCCACCCCCACCCTGCAGAACTCATGGTGGAGTAAAACCTGCCACCTGCATAAAAGGTGCTATAGGTAAGTTCCAAAAAAATAATTCAGACCTGTATTATGGGAATTCATAGAAGGGAATGGCACTTAGGGATTCTTTTTACTTGGTAAGTATTTATTGAACACCTACTAGGGAGAAAGCAATAAACAAGACAGTCCCTGTTGTTGTAGATCTTCAACCTTGGAGGGAAGAAAATCAGCCACTAAGAAGACAGAGTATCCAGTGGTGACTGGAGATGTGGAGGAAAATCAGAGTGAGGGAAGAGACAGGCCAGTTAGGAAAACGAGGCCAGAAGAGACCTAACTTAGTAGCTTTTAATCAGAAGAAGGCATAAGAATGGGCAAATATCCAAAGGGGAGACTCCCTGGTGTGTTCATGGGACAAGAAGGTCAAGGTGGCTACCCCAGATTGAACAAGGGGAGATGGGTGGGAGCCGAGGTCAGAGAGGTGCAGAGCAGCCACAGGATCTGTCTGGTCTGGGCTTTAAAAGTATCACGAGGTTGCTGTGTTCTGAGTAGACTGTAGGGGAACTAGGGCTGTTAGAAATCTGGGTCTGTATTCAAGGCATTTGTTATTACTTAAAAAGCACTTATATGGGGCTTCCTATGTGACAGATGCAGTTAACCCCTTTACAAATAATAGCTCATTTAATCCTCATAACAGAGGCCCAAAGAGGTAACCCAAGGTCACACAGCAGACTGATGAAGGTGCTTCCGTCAGGGCAGTAACATTGAGGTGGCAAGAAGGGATCACATTCTGGATTTTTACTGATGGATTGGTGGTCGGCATGAGAAGAAGAAAGGAGTCAAGGGGGATGCTAAGATGTTTAGCTTTATCAACACTTGAAGGGTTTGCCATTTATTGATCTTTGGAAGCTTATAGGAGGAACAGGGTGTTTTCTTTGGGGAGGGGCATAAGAGTCACTTCGGGGCAAGTTGTATTTTAAATTGCCTGTTGGAGATTAAAATGGAGATGCCAAATAAGAAATCAGATATGGAAATCTGGAGTTGAGGAAAGAAGCTGGAGTTGGTGATAAAGTTATGAGAACTGTTAGCTAATAGATGATATTTTAAGATTAAGAGCACAAGGCAACTAGGTAAACTCACGCAGAAGGTGAATATAGAGAGAAGAGGTCAAGAAGATAAAGAGGAACCAGCAAGGCCACTGAGAAGGAGGACCAAGAGGACTAAGAGAAGGTGGTGTCCCTCCTGGAAGCCAAGGGATAAATAAGGGCACTGGGGGAAGTTTTGTGAAAGAAGAGACACTTGAACTGTTTACTTAAAGAAAATAAGATTGAAAGGGAGCCTTGTTCAAAATGCATTACCTGTGTTTTCTCATTTAATCCTCACTACAGCCCTGTGAGGGCAGTGCTGTAATTCTCACTGTACTGGTGAGGGAACTGAGGCGCAGAAAGGTTAAGTAATGTGCCCAAGGTCACATAGCTAATAACTTCAAAGCCAGGCATTCTGGGACCAGAGCCGGCGTATAACCCCAGACCTGGTTACATTGCTTCCCTGCTCAAAAACCTTTGAAAATTGTTACCTCATAACAAAAGGGCTCAGGAACCAACCCAGAACGCAGGGGCAGACTACTCTGTCTCTCTCATGACGCTCCATTTCTGCTTCTTTAGATGCATTTGATACATCCTTTTCTGTCCAGCATCCTCAGCTTGTAGCCCTATTCCCTCGACATTTCAGCCTGAATGAGGCCCATCCTGGTGACCTTTGCCCTCCTTTATTCTCTGCATCAGCTTGCTCTATTAACTGGCGGCAGCTTTTTGTTTCATAATTCAGACCCCGAGACAGAATCCAATTAACTCATCTTTTAGTGATGAGAGCTCATTGAACAGGTCACCGGCCAGTCCACGGACTGGCTGACCATAGGTCAGAGCTCACCCCTTGACCAGCCAACTATTGCTATGAGCATGGGGACAGATGGCATCAAACATGACTGCCTTCAAGGAGCTGGGGGTAGGCAGGTGGGCACCATTAAGTATTTCAAGTACTGTTTCTCCTCCCTCTTTCAAACACCCCATCCCCTTCAAGTTCTTACTATCATTTTTCCATCAGCAACCTCTCCCTTTTGCTCTCATGAGCTGACTTTCCTCTCACCTCCTGCACCTTACTCTGCGGCTTCAGATCCGTAAGTTTAGTCCATGAGAAATCTTACTGACCTCTCCCTTATCCAATGAGTTTTCCCTCTTCCTATCTTCAGATACTCACTCTCATTGATCCTCCGCTAGACTTGCCCTCCCACCAGTTACGGCACTATCTCAGAAAACACAATTGCAAAGATCTCACATCTGACCTTCACCCGCTTACTATACTACCACACACAAGTATTTCTTCAACCTCACCGCGGCCTGCAAACCGTTGACCCTGCCAGATTTTCATATTTATCTTCCCCCTCATGCTCATGTTCCTCCTCGCCAGCTTAGTAATGAGCATTATACTCACTTCCTGGCCAAGACCCATAACTGCTTTGCCCGTTGTCTCCTAAGTTGTCCTACGTAGTTCAGCCCAGCCAATCTCCTGCTCTCTGCTTAAATCAGAATATAAGAACATTGCTGGGAAACTAAAAGCGACCAGTGTCACTTCAAACCGATGACCACAAATTTCGAAGTAGCCTAGCAACCCTGCTATGTATTTCCCTGCTGTATTCAATTACCCGCACTCTGTAAGTATGATTTTTCACTCTTCCTCCTCTGTCCCCTTCTCATCCTTCACTCTGAGCAAATGAGCTTGCCTCACACGTCACAGGGATAATAGAACCAATCAGGAGCCTTTTCGTCCCCCAACAACTCTGCGCCTTGCCCACATTCTCTGCCGTCCCCTCTCTTATGGTGAATGAAGGGTCTGTGCACCTATCAGAGCAACCCCTCCACTGGCGCTCTGCACCCCTCTTCCCTTAGCAGTTTCTCCCTCTATACTGGATTATCCCCACCTTCTGAAAATAACATGCCCCAGCATCTCGTATTTTTTTAAAGTTTTAACAACAAAAATCTCCTTGGTCCTACGTCTCCCTCCAGCCACCTCCCCATGTTTTCTCTCCTCTTCACATCAAAACTTTGTTGAGTTCTCTGCAGTTGCTTTTTCCACACCAACTCCAGTTTCTTCTCAGATCAGCCTGGGTCGAGCTTCTGCCTCCACCTGCTGACCAGAAAACTCCAAGGTGCAGAAGCCAGTGGCCTTCTGGGCCTCATCCTACTACCGACTTCTCCTCTTTGGTGCCCCTTTCTCGTGTTCAGGTTTCCTCTGAAGTCCCTGTGACAGCGCCTCTTCCTTTTCTGAAGGCCCTTGTCGGGGACCCCTTCGTTTCTGTATCTAACTGCTCTTTGGTTGCTAGGGGTCTTTAGCACCTAGAACATAATAGGCGCTCAATGAAGTTCTGTGAAATGAGGTAATAATGTCAACATCATAGGATATTGGGTGAATAAGTGGATAAGGATGAATGATAAATAGCTCCTTTTAACTGAGTGGTTACTATGTGCTAAGCTATTGTATTATCTCATTGACCTCATTGGCTCCTCCCAGCAATCCTTTGAGGTAGGAGCTTCTATGATCATTTTATCAAAAAAGAAGTTACGGCTTAGATGGAATGACTTGCCTAAGGTTACACAGATAAGTGAATAAATAAATCCATCCTCACTTTCATCTTTCTGACTCCAAGTCTTAGAATTGCTGAATTGAGATCATACGTAGGGAAGTGCTTTGTAAACGTCAAAAGATGA